CTAACTGCTTTCCCTTTAGCTGGCTTTTTCGACTGCCTTTTCTAGGTCGAAATGTTTAGCGGCTCGGCTCGTAGATCTTCTTTTTTTCTTTCTATGTATAAACAGAATCTGGACTTCCGTCAGCGCGCTGCGTCATACAGACAGAAAGCAACTTAATTGCAAAACCAGTCGGCACTAAAACGTATAAGCAAGAAAACAAAACTTCAACTGAAGTTGAAGTTACGACTGTGCGAGGCAAAAGCCGCTCGCTGCAGGCAATTAAAAAACGGCGAAAAAAACGAACATAAACAAAAGAAATTAGCAGACATAAAAAACCGAGCAGAAGGTGAGAAATAGAAGCTAATTGAATGCAAATGCAAAAGGCAAAAAAAAAATATATATATAAGAAAGAAGAAGATGATGATGGGTAAATGATCATTGCCTGAAGATCCGCAACTGCCTTTCGGGGTTGTGACACATGTGTGGCAAAAAAGGCTGGCGGCCAAATGTTGCAAAAAAAAAATGAAAAAATTATATATTATATATGTATATATATAACACACACAATAATGATATAACAACAACAACTACTAAACATTGCCTATGGCAATTGCCGCGCTCGGCCAGGCAACTTCTTTCAATTGCTGTTGCTTATTGTTTATGCAACAATTTGTGGCAAACAGAGCGCGAAATGAGCGGCAACAGCGCCAAATTTGTCAACTGGCAACAACTTGTTTAAGTTAGTTTCTACTTTAGTTTGTCAGCCTCTTCTACCTCTACTAGACTCTTTTTTTTCTTTTTTAGTATTTACACGTAATTTGCAATTTATACGCACGTTTTGTGAACTCAGCCGTGGTAGCTGCTCGCTGCTTCGCTGTCTCTGTGGCTCCGCTCGAGTTTGTCTCTCGTTTTTAGCTCAGCTTTGTCTCTCGGTGTCTCGCTGTCTCGGTAACTTGGTGTCTCGGTGGGCCGCCAACCTTACGCTTCGAGCAACGACGCGCAACTGAAAACTGAAAATGCAGACGCGGCCAAAACAGCAGCCGACTGCGCCGTCGACGTCGACAGCGACGCTGTTTTGAAATATACACTGCAGCGGGGGGCATAAGAGAATTGGGAGTCATTTGGAGTGACTTGGA